CTTGACCAGAGTAGATGGGAGAAGGCAATGCTGGGGGAAAGATTCTAAAACTGACCAGAAATTACTGTTAATCATTCAGACAGAGAGAGAGGCAGCATATCCCTGTATGAGAGAAAAGTAGCATCTATGTTTGTACATCCAAACACACACAGATGGTTTGTTGGTATCAGCTTCAACTAAGCCTCAGTGTAAAATACTTTGGAGCCACCATTTCTGTTTTTTAGAGTCCTAAGAAAAACCAACCAAGCTAACAAAACCTCAGGATTTTTATCAGCCTTTTATCTGAGATCATATGCTACAGAGTCCAAGTCTCTCCATTACTACTTAGGTGCTCAACTGGATTTCCTAGAGCAGAACATTATTTTATTTGTGTTTTCCCTTCAGTTTTATTCTCTGGCTCATACCATCCTTGTCATTCTCTGCAACTCCCTGCTTCTCCCCATCATCATAAATTACTGATAGGCAAGTGAGTTTCACACAGGTGTTCTCTGACCTCCTACATGACATGTCATAGATGACAGCCCCAAAGAAGAAGGAAAGGCTAAATTATACCTTGATAGTCATAACTGTCCAAGAATTTAGAAGAGGTCCTGAAGACTATCTCCAAGAAACTCCCCCCTATGAAAAGGGAAATCTCCAGTCTCTTTCAGTGTCCTTCCTTTTCCCCTTTTTACTGAAAAAATCAAAAGGGTTGCTTACCTGCTACTCAGTGGAAGTGCTAATACTTACCAAGTTGTTTAGAATAGCAGGCTTAAAAAATTAACTCAAATAATCACTGTTAAACATGGGAGGAAGGCAATTCTCTGGTTAAGAATGCACCTTAACTTTAATTTTCTCATTACCACTTACAAGAAAGTAATTTACATAGCTGATTTACCTTTGAAAATCTTTGATTTTTCTGACTATCTGGCCCTTCATACGGATCTTCCATTAAAAGCTTCCTCAGTTTCTTCAGTTTAGGTCGGCATCTTCTTAATTCCCAGTAGTTATTGGAGAAGCCAGCAATCTACAAGAAAAAAGCAGAGACTCTTTATATTAATCTACCATTTGGATTCAAAGCACCTTACCAAAAACTATCAGAAAAAGTATTACTCTAGTCACTGAGAACAAGAATTTATTAATAGGGTAAAAAATCCACTGGTGGTGGATAAAAATATGTTCATAGTGCATATGACAGAGAGCAGCTGATCTCTATATGCAAATGATTGAATATCATAATGGGATATATTCCTGTGATGGAATATAATCATGGGATATATTCCAGCACAGTCCTCATCAGCATTTCCTTTCCTTTTAATACTCAGTTATATTACTACCATAAAACCTATCCTGTATTATCCTGTTTCCATCTTCTCCCCTTCTTCCCATGCTTAGAATCTACTTGGTCTTTTTACACCTTAGTGAATCATCATATCACTAAACTCAAGTAAAACAGACAGGAACAAGACAGTAAGCTACACTTTCACACAACTAACAAGACAGCTCTGGTCCTTACACTGATTCAACACACACATTAGAAGTGTGCAACAGGAAGCTCAGGTGTAACTGTTTCAACACTACCCTAATAAAACTTTACCTTCAGAATAATCCTGAGGTATTCCATGACATACAGCTTGGTCTTCCTAGAAGGTTCCTTGAAGAGGACAGACTATTGAAGGCCTTTCAGTTGTTTCTGCTATTTAACAAACCAACAGAAGGGGGTACAGAAAGGCAGAGGCAGAACACGCTTGAAGTTCATGGCTCTTGACCCAACCACTGAGCCCCTTGTAAAAAAACCTCCATGAAAAAGCCTCCAAATAGTCCTTCAAAATACCCTAAATGCTTTACCTGGCTGCTTTGTTGTTGTTGTTGTTTTGGGTTTATTTGTTTGTTTTTGTTAAGGTCATCCTTTAAAAAACAAAACCACAAAACTCAAAAATAATACTCCATTTAAATCCACTTTAAGCAAACCACCTATATGTAGAAGTCCTACCTAAATTCTAATACAGAGAAAGCTCTCAGTTTTTAATCTAACTATTCTGCAGCTTGCTTAGCACAGAATTTGGGTAAATACTGACTTCCCGATAAACTTCTAAGCTTTTTTTTTCCCTCCATGTCAAATAGCTTTTACCTAAGTGTTAGGTTTATTTTTCTGCAAAGTTCTTTTCTGACAAACTGAGTAATGAACAATAAGGTACTCTGTGTAGAAAAGAAAATAAACAATTCTAATTTATAATCCAAAGGTCATTACTGGAGCTGGTCTGTGTGAGGTGAATAAAATGGTAGGTTCTTTGGCTGTATTAGCCTTTCAAGTGGTACAAAGAGCAGTACTCAGACTGCAGGAGAAGAGCAGCAAAGCCCAAAAATATTGAATCAAGTGTCTTATGCTATGTTTCACAATTTGCAGTGTCAATACACCATGAAAACATTTTGAAAACATTAGGAAAGCTGTCAGAAATAAATATCTAAAATGAATTCCTAAGCAAATCACAGACCCCATCTGGAGTTCTGTGTCCAGTTCTGGACACCCCAGTACAGGAAGGACACAGAGCTGCTGGAGCAAGTCCAGAGGAGGGTCATGAAGATGATCTGAGGGCTGGAGCACCTCTCTTATGAAGACAGGCTGAATGAGTTGGGGCTGTTCAGCCTGGAGAAGAGAAGGCTCTGGGGAGACCTTAGAGCACCCTTCCAGTAATGTGAAGGGGCTACAGGAAAGCTGGGGAGGGGCTTTTTACAAGGGCCTGTAACAATAGGATCAGAAGTCATGGTTTTAAACTGGAAGTCGGTGGATTTAGGTTAGACATGAGGAAGAAATCCTCAGTTTGGGGTTGGTGAGACACTGGAACTGGTTGCCCAGAGAAGCTGTGGATGCACCATCCCTGTAAGTCTTCAAGGACAGGTTGGACGGGACTTTAAGCAACCTGGTCTAAAGCATTTTATGATTCTGTGATTTACATTATGTGGACCTGTGTGTTTTCAGAGGACTAGTGAGATCATTAAACATAGCAAAAAAAAGAAAATGGAAGAACATTACTTTCTCACTAATCCACTTTAGTTTGAATTAACTTTTTCTATTAGCTGAACTGTTGACTTCACAGAAAAAAATATGCTGTTTTGATTATTATGTTCATCTAAGGACAAGCAGGATTACTCAACAATGATGTCATTATATTCATTACAGTAAACAGTGACCTAGCAGTAGTATTTGCCTAACTAGATGCTAGTTGAAAGAGAGTCACCTTTAAATAAATTTCTGTGTTTAAAATATAATATTCAGGCATGACATGGTATCATCTGCCTTTTGGGGAAACCACTCCTAGAAATCAATTTGCAAACAACTTATTTTAAAAACAGCTGCTAACACTGAGAAATAAGATTTTCTTTGAAAACTTTTAATACCTACCACAAGTAATTACTATCCACTGAAAATAAACCAAAGTTTTAACTTCTTAGAAACAATAATTCTCATACATTATGGATGAAGTTCAGTTGCCTAAAGAGGGGCACTAGAGCCGCTGCGAACACCTGAAGGTGTAACATGCCCCCTGTGTATAAAGCTTATTTATAAAGACACCCTCCTGGGGCTGTTCAATGTACAAAGAACCTATAGGACTCTCATGTCCTTCTGCAGTGGCAGCTCACAGCTAGACCAATACCACAAGGATTCTAAAATGGCATTAGAAACCTATGTTTAGGCAACTGAATTCCAGACGGGTTTCACGAATGCATCTTGGATCAAATGCAAGAAATTACAGAGAATAAGAAAGTAGAGAATTAAAGTAAACAAACAAAAACCCAGAAAGACATACCTGCGAATGAATAATATTACAAGATGCTTGATCTGCATTCAGCTGTTCTGGAGTTTTGCAGCCAGGAATAAACAGCAGCATATTTGAGGTATCTGCTATTTTCATATCGTAAGTTTTATCTTTGCTGCACAACACTGCTTGTTCATGCTTTTCACCACGGATCACTAGGCTAGAAAAAAAAATATCAAAATGCCAAAATAAAGATGCATTTTTACCTCTATTTCAGGACGAAAACCTATTAAACGTGTTTGTTTTTTTTTCACATTCATACATCGGTGAAGAAGTTATAAACTGCAGTTCTTTGTGATAGAAGCAGTCACAGAATACCAAAATATAAAGATGTTATTGTCAATTAAATAAAAAATATCTTAACACTGTATTTTTCCTCACCTTCTTGAGTATTCCCACTCAGAAAGACCAGTATTCAAGGTTTTTATGCAGGTCACATTTGAACCTCCTCACCTGCCTTTTCACACAACACACCCTAAAATATTTTAAGATGATGCTTAAAGTCTGAACTAATTCACTAATCTTAGAATAGAGATTACAACCAGAATTGTTCTTTAATAACATGCTTTAACATGGTCAGCCCTGAACTGGACAGGGACTACTAGATAGATGGTTGCTGTAGGTCCCTTTCAACTGAAATACTTTATTTGATTCTTAATGAAGACTGAAACTAGCCCACTGTGAAACAAGCAAGCAAACAGAAACTTGTATTATGCAGTGCCCTTCAGAAAAATTCCTTCTAAAAAATACACACATTTTCTTGCAAGTAATTTCAAGCAGGAATGAAACATCTTCTAGAGCATTTCAGTATGAACAATCAATGCAAACCCCTCTCCTCATCTCACATACTTTAAATGGAAATCGTTGGTGAGGCTGTGGTAACAGAGGCAGGACAACAACAGGAGGACATTCAGTTCCCCTCAGGCTACACTAAATTAACTGCTCAGATTCAACTTAATGAAAATGCTACTCATCTCCAAACTTGCAGGCTTGAACAAAGATCAGTTGTGCTCCAAGGGGTCTTCAGGCCTCTAAACCTTGACAGTTTATCAACACTGCAACTGAGTATGGGCAGGCTTAGTAACAGACAGAATCATAGCATGGTTTGGGTTAGAAGGGACCTTTAAGATCACCTAGTTCCAACCTCCCCTGCATGGGCCGGGACACCTGCCCCTTGACCAGGCTGCTCAAAGCCCCATCCAGCCTGCCCCTGAACACTTCCAAGGAGCAGGCATTCACAACCTCTGTGGGCAAACTGTTCTAGCGTCTCACCACCCTCACACTGAAGAAATTCTTCCTCGTGTCTAACCTAAATCTCCCCTCTTCCAGTTTAAAGCCATGACCCCTCATCCTGTTGTCACACGTCCTTTTAAAAAGTCCCGCCCCAGCTACCTTGCCCTCACCTGCGGGTTCGGACCTCCTGTCACCCACCCAACCTCACGTGCTCCCGTGGGAAATTGTCCCATCAGCAGGATTCTTTTAAAGACGTCACCTTCTTTCCTAACCCCACATTTTTAGGCATCGACATTCATGTGCCTGACAAGAAACTCGCCTGGGGTCTGTCCAGAAGCAACTTTTTCATACGCAAGGAAAAAAAAACAACAAAAAACACAACAAAACAAACACAACAGCTTTTTATCGGTGCTGTTTGTTTGTTTGTTTTAGTTCCAGGTTTAAGGGACAGACACATTTTCATGCAAACCATATTAGAGGAATAAAAGAACGGGGGGCTGGGGGGGAAGGTGTAAGAGCCACGTCAGGCACTAATGAGCAGCGAGCGCCGGGCCGACGGCAGGAGCCGCCTCTGCCCCGGCTGCTCCGGGTGGCGACAGCGCGGGGGGATGTCCCCAGGGCCCGACACCCCCCGCCCGCCCGTACCTGCGTCCCGCCTCCAGCTCGGCGCACAGGCCCGGCTCCAGCTGCAGCAGGCAGCACTCGCCGGCGCCCGCCTGCGGGCCGAAGCTGAGGCAATGTACGACCGGCAGCAGCTCCGCCGGGTTCAGCTTGGCCGTCTGCAACGTCGCGTCCACCTCGGCGCGGCTCCTCATGGCGCCGGCCCCGCCGAAAGCCGCGCCGGGCGGGACGGGGCGGGCAGCGGCGCGGGCGGCGCCCCGCGGGTTGCTTGATTCTCTGGTTAACGGCCGTGAGCTCGGCCGGCGCTGCCGGGGCGGGCAGCAACGCTTTGGGGTAATACTGCGGGAAATGCTGGTCCTCAGTGGCTGGGGGTTCCCGCCCGGCTGCGATAAAACCTCTATACCACTAAAATGTCAAAAAAAATAATAAAAAATCCATAAAATGCCCTAAATAAAACATACGTATAAAATAAAACAAAACCAAGCCACATATAGGGAGGTCTCTGCCCAGCCCTGACTGAGGGAGCACCCTCTGCGTATTGCCTTGACACCAGAGCATGAGAACAAGGGTGGAGGAGGGAGGCTGGCTTATCTGCCATTAGAGGGCCTGGCTGTGGCTGGGAGAACATGGGGTAAGACAGCTGCAGGTGGCAACCAGTGGTGCCTGCAACCCCCGCTCCGTCTGTCACAACAGCTGTGGGGACAGTCTCACCTCAGGACAGTATCTACTGGCTCTTACCGCCAAATGATCCCTTAGGAAGGTGACAGCACCTTCCTAAGGTGATCAACTTCCTAAGGGGATCAACTCCCCTGCAGGCCCAGCTGGGCTTTATCTGCTTGAGAAAGCTATGAGGAAGTGCTTGAGCTAAAGCCATGACAGAGAGGAGTAAAAACCATAGGCAACTTCAGATATTGCAATGGAAACAGTCCACAGCTCAGAGGTTAAAATGACGTCTGTTGACCTCCTTATACCATAATAATAAATAAAAGCAGAGTCTCACAGAGAGAGCAGCTCAGTACCACTGGGAGTCAAGTCCTCTGCAGGGAGCAGCACAGGATGACTCGTTCCTGGCTCATCCAGTACTCCTGGCTCCCCAGAGGTTCACCAAGGTTTTGCTGTGAAGCATGTTAACACTTGGCCTAGCTGCCTGCTGTTAGCATTACTGTTAATGCTGTTAGCATTAGCTAACAAGTAATTACTTTGTGCTCTTAAGTTGTGTATATCTGCTTGCAGAGTCTCTGTGCTTGGTATGAGCCTGCACCAAATGGCCCAGACAAAGAGATTGTACCATGTTCACGTTGGAACCAGAAGCAGGAGCTGGCGGGACAGAACTGGCCTGGTTCAGTATCCAGCCCAGCAGAGAGTAACTGTTGTTATTCATGACAGGGTCAGGCATCTTCTGCTTTCAGAAGGTCCTTTATCTGAGACAATTGACCTTGGAGAAAACTTTGACTGAAGTAATGAGGCAGTTACCTCTATCACATGCACATTGGCTTGTTCAAAGACTCGGCCATCTATTATATTTTCATGTTTTATTTCAGTTACTGGAAGGTGGAAATATAATCATTGTGTACACAGGAAACGTGAGGCACTTTGGCTTTGGTTAGCTCCTATTATCGCGTAGGTGCAAACTGGTATGTACAGTCTTATTTCACACTGTGACATTTTGCATTAATGTAAATCTGTTCCTGCAGACCTCTAAGCTAAACTAGAAATCACTATTCTCTTAAGTAAATGGTCACACAGCATTTATAACAGTTACTGTTTAAATAGCAGCTTCGTTATCCTGGTTTTAATTTATACTTTAATTTGTACTATTTTCTAATGACCTTGCATGCTTGGTGCTTCTGTCTGTGACATAAAAAGAGATTCTGACATAGCTGAGGAAGTGAATCCAAGGCATAGCTTCATGTAGTTTGTATCTCAAGAACTCTGCTACATAACTGAAAACCAATGGGAACAAAATAACTGAACATTATTCAGGAGTTGGCACTGATCTGTGGTCAGGAACATTTGAGACTGAGTCCAACATTTATACTAGCTATTAATTTTTTAAACGAGTTTTGTTTATCCCTGTAGTTCTGGTTGTAGATGCTTTTTATCTTGTTTCCTAAGGAGCTGAAAAATATACACTTGTGCTGCCTGCCATCTTTTTCTGCCTGACCCTCACCACTCTGGAAATTGCTGGGCAAGTTCTGGCAAATTTGGCAGGTAGAATTCCTACAGGTTTTGCGGAAATCAGTGGCTGGACAATATTTTGGAGCCTCTACTTAGCGGAAAGCAACTTTAATCCATTCTGAGAGGCAGCAGCCAACTGGCCTATCAGCAAAAACGTGGACATAAATCTCTAGGAAACATGGCTCATTTGTCAGGAAACAACTTCTGTTATGCTTCTGTTTTCACTGAGAATGCTTTAGACCAGTGACCTAACCGGCAAACCCTGATTTGTGTGGGAATTTATAAAGTCAGTTTCTTGAAACGCAGATGAATTGTTTAATGAATTTGGATTGTAGAGAAAGAGAGGAGAAGCTGATCTATCAGCAATGCTGTCAGTTTATGAGGAAATGCATGTCATGATAAGGGAGCTTTGTAGGATCCTGAAAGTATTTTATAATAATCCTGTGAGATTATGTATTTGCTCTAGAGTTGCTGCAGCAGAAAAGAGTACCATTTTCACTTTGGGCTAGTGTGGTGGACTGAAACTGTCAAGTTCAGGAGCATCATGGTACAAGCAGGGGTGGAACACTTCTGTAGCAGAATGGAAGAAAGGACTGAGGAAGCAATTAATTCAGCCACCACATCTTAACTGATCACCAACTGAAGTCAGTCCCCCAAGGTACACAACTGAAGCTTTAAGTGACTGCTGTGAGTGCACAGCTGAAGGTGCAGCTCTGTTAAGAGGCCTCAGTATAGGGCAGGAGTAAACTGAGCTGCTAAATAGCAATTCATCCTCAGCTGGGCTGAGGAAGGCAGGCAAGAATGAAGTCAAGTCTCAAGCAAGAAAAGCTTGTGTGTAGTTTTTTAATTGACCTATGTTAATGGAAATTAGTGTTAATGGAATCCGGTTGACTAATGTTGAGTGAAGTTAGCAAAATACAAAAACAGATTGTTGAAGATTATTATAGTCTTGCCTTTGAAGTTCCTGGGCCTTTATAATATTTCCCAGGGCTAAAACATCAAGGATGTGAACAGCAAAATAAATGAAGGGCAGCTGTGACAAATCAAAGAAAGGAAGTTCAAGTAAGTCCAAAGCTCTACAACTTAGACATAAAACAATGAGCCACAATATAACATAACATATGCCCAGGAGCTACGTGCCCCAACAAAGAGGAAGGCAGGCAGGAGAGCCAGGAGGCCTGTATGGATGAGCAAGGAGCTTCTGGACACAGTCAAATGTAAAAATAAGGTACACAGAGAGGGGAAGCAGGGCCAGGTATCCTGGGGGGAGTACAGACAAGCTGTCAGAGAAGCAAGGGATTGGGTAAGGAAGGTCAAAGAACAGATAGAGTTGGACCTGGCCAGGGATGTTAAGAACAATAAGAAAAGTTTCTACAGGTATGCCAGCAATATGTCACAAACCTGCTCTTCTCCTACAGTGGGGAGATTTTCCTTTTCACAGTCCATGCCTTTACCTTCTCTAACTTGGATGGTATGACCAGAGCCTTTGCCAGTGAAGACTGAGGCAAAGTAGTCAGAGTACCTCAGCTTTGTAGTGAAAGGACAAGGGGTAATGGATCAAAAGTGGAAGAGGGGTTATTTAGGCTAGGCATTAGGAAGAAATTCTTTAGTGTGAGGGTGCTGAGACACTGGAACGGGTTGCCCAGGGAAGTTGTGGAAGCCCCATCCCTGGAAGTGTTCAAGGCCAGGTTGGATGAAGCTCTGAACAACCTGATCTGGTGGGAGGTGTCCCTGCCCATGCAGAGGGTTGGAACTAAAGGATCTTTAAGATCCCTTCCAACCCAAGCCATTCTGTGATTCTGTGGTGATTCTGTATTAGAACAGTGTACATTACCAGTGTCAGGCTGTAGTCATCAGGCTACATGTTAGGAGTATTACTTCCCAGGTGTGATTTCAGTTCAAGTGCTTGGAAGCTCTGCAGCATAATGTAGTGAGGGAACTGGGTTACAAGAAGTGTGATGTTTAAGTGTCAAAGATGTACACGCTTGAAGCTTCTGAATGTTCTTCAAAGCACAATGTAAAAGTGTAGCTGTAAAAGTGTAAAGATAATAAAGCCAGCACTGGAGAAGCTGGCACAGTGCCAAAGTTGGATACCATAACACATTATCAGCCTGGTGATAATTACACAGTTCACAGTTACAGTTCTTGGAGAATATTCCACAAGACAGGCTGGTTGATTAAAGCCTCGCAAAACATAGCTCAAGGGTTGGGTTTTTTTCAGCTAAAAAGCCATCTGTAGTATTTCAAATGAGCATGTATGTTACATTTTCAGCCATTAAATAAGAGCTTCTCATTATCTAGAAATACCTGTCAGTGGACATGCCCACTGTGCTTCAACACAGAAGATGAGTGTGGCAACTGGACCTGTAGGTGTGACTGGAGTTAGAGCACAAGAGCTCTGAATGCCATTTCAGTGTGCTCCAGACTCCTCTGAGACACTGGGCAATTAACTGTCTACAATGGAGGCACTACATTCTCTTCCTGGGAAAATGAGAGAAAAAAACCTTAAAATATGGCATTGTGTGAATCCATGGTGCACACATCTCTTGAATAATGATTGTCTTGCCTGTCTCAAATGTCAGTTTGACCTCGGTGCCAGGGAAGTCTACAGATAACAGCAAGCTAGGTGGGAGTGTTGATCTGCATGAGGATAGGGAGGCTCTACAGAGATACTTGGATAGATTGGATCGTTGGGCTCATGTTAATGGTCTGGGCTTCAACAAGGCCAAGTGTGGGGTCCTGCACTTGGGCCACAACAACCCCAGGCAACGCCCCAGGCCTGGGGAAGTGTGGCTGGAAAGTGTCTGGCAGAAAAGGACCTGGGGGTTCTCACTGGCAAGCGGCTGAATATGAGCCAGCAGTGTCTGAAGGGTTGATGTAGAGAGGTTGGTGCTGGTCTCTTGTCACAGGTAATTAGCAACAGAACAAGAGGGAAAGGCTTCAAGATGCAACAGGGGAGGTTTAGACTGGACATTAGGATTTTTTTTTTTTCCCCAGAAAGTGGTCAGACACTGGAATAGGCTTCCCAGGGAGGTGG